GTAATATTTGGGGTCACAAGTTTTTGCCATGGATATTTTGTGGGTCAGAAGATAAAAAGTTTTGGAACCACTGTTCTAGATAAACTAGAGATTGATTAATGTTGAAAGATTTTTGAATTAAAAAAAAGGTAAACAAAAATGTTGCAATTTGTTGTAAAATCACCAAAATAGTTTAAATTAACAGAAAAGGAGCTGAAAAAGCTGAATCAAGCACAATAAAAGCAGAAAGAGCATGTTTGCAGAGGCAAAACAGTAAAAAGCAGAAATTATCACAAAAAGGTGAACTTCGCTGAAAACAGCCAAAATTAGTAACTTAGCTAAAACATAGCTTAAATTACAGGAAACAGCTGAAACAAGCATAACAAGCTTAAATCATCAGAAATAAGCTGATAGAAGAACAAATAAAGTTTAAATCAGCAAAACAGCTGAAAAGAGCAGAAAAAAAATTAAACAAAAAATAAAATTAGCAGAAAAGAAGCTGAAGGAAGCTGTAATTAGCGCAAAGAAGTTTTAAAAAGCAGAACCAGAACATAAAGGAAGCAAAACCACTGATCTGTATTACTGGATTGGACATCACGTGACTTATCATGCGCCGCACAGGAGCCAGTGCTATGCATTGAGTCAGGTCAACAAAACAGTAGAGTTTCAATGTGGGAGGTGCGTCAGGCTGTCACAAAAATATTCATAGCACCCTCATTTCTTATCTGATTTCTATAAAATATGGTTTAAATTAAATGAGAAAATTGCAGATGTTGTGATATGTAAAAAATATGTATTTGCTCAAGAGATAAATCTATAAGCAGTCTGGAAAACTTATATTATAAGATTTTGCTAATGTATTTACAGTAGAAGTCCCTTTCCATCACATAAAAACCTGCAGCGCGAGGCATTATAAAACAAACTGAATTAACTTCTCTTTGCGATTAAATATATATTTTAAACAAATAAAAGGTTGCTGTTTCACGTAGAGTTAAGATCAGGACTAAAACAAAACGCTACGGTGATTCAAATCCAACTGGACATATTTTAAATACCGTTTGATGTGATCCCGTTTTAATTTAATCCTCACAGCTTTAAAATGTTCCTAAGTTTATAAAGACCTCAGCATTTTTGTCTTTGTGGGGAAACTACGTGTGGGTGTTTCCGGACAGACATCAACCCACCCCAGGCAGCAGAGGTGTCCTGATGTGAAAAACCCCTCCCCAGCGGAGGCACTTGTCTTAACCAGGAAACAAATGCAAAATTTGAATTTTATATATATATATGACACATATGACTCTTTATGTGTTATGTGTGTCATATATTATTCTAATTTTGCATTTGTTTCCTGGTTCTTCTTTCGCGCTGAAGTGACTAAAGACAAATTCCTCCAGCTGGTCATAAAATAAATGCGGTCGACCTCTCCACCGCTTAGCTTATGAAATGTACGGTAGAGGAAAATAAAGTTACTGAGTTTTTTAATCTGATATATAATCACAAACTACAGGATATACCAAACTGACTGGACAGAACATCAGTACTAGTAATATCTACACAGTTCAGCCTAGTAGTAGTAAAGGTAAATTTACTGTTGTCCATTATATTTACATCTCACAATGTTATCCTAACATAATAACAATATTAATAAAAAATATAATAATTTGTTGGAACAGTAAATTTGTCTTTATGTGACAGAAAGGGGCTTCAACTGGAAATACGTTAGCAAAAACCTGTAATGAAAAGTTCCCTGACTGCTTATAGATTTATTTCTTGAGCAAATACATGGTTTTTTTTACATTTCACAACAACAGCTATTTTCTGAGCTTTAATTTAAGCCATATTTTATAGAAATCGGATAAGAACTGAGGGTGCTATGAAGACGATTGACACGCATCCTGCATTGAAACTCTACCGTTTTGTTGACATGACTCAATGCATAGCAATGGCTCCTGTGTGTTGCGTTGCTAGCTATAGCGGCTATAGGCGATGCCCAATCCAGTAATATATATCAATAAGTATCACTTTTTAAATATTGTAAAAAGTTTGATGGATTTCTAGTGGAGCGCCATTCATTTTCAATGAGAAATAAAATGGTCAAAACGACTAAATATCTTAAAAAGTATAAATTGCTGAAATAACAAAAGTCATAGCCAGAATGTCCTGAAGGAGCTGAGCCTTTTGATGTATATGTTTTGAAAATAGCACAAAATTGAGGAACAAGACACCAGCAAGGAAAATGGATCATCGCAATAATGTGAATGCATTTTATATAATTCACAACAATAATATTTAGAACTGTACCTTTACTCTTTTGAGCTGTTCCTCAAGAGGCAAAGAATATTTTATTACATCCAGTTCTTTTTCCTTTTCAGATATCCACAAGGAAAATGCTTCATATCCTGCTCCAAACCGATTCCACTGACTTTTCATTTCTCCCAGATTCTTCACTCTGAGGGAAAAGTAATAATATGACCAATTACTTTAAAGAGGCAGCAAGTATAGTTTCCTGTTATACACACAGTGTCACATAATAATTATTGACTTTGTTATTGTCAAGTCCTTTAATGAAAAAAAGTTATGGCTTTAAATACACTTGTACATTTTTTCAAGCATTTCTTATCAAAACCCTTCTAAACTCCCTTTAAACGGCTTCATTCGTTTCTCTTAAAGGGATCCCCGATTAGTTGTAACATTAGACTTTATTTGATAAACATATATTTTAACTGTAAAATAAAGACTGTAAAAATACTGTAGGACGTTTCGTTTTCTAAATTTTTAAAAATATATGGAGCCATTTTATTTTACACACAAAGCATTCTGGGTAAATGATGACGTAGATAGGTCATCGCTGCTAGCGAGCTACATCCACCCTGAAGGTTAATCTTGGACAATTTCTGATGATCGACTCTTTTAAATGAAACCAGAGAGCGTTGACAGAGAGGAGAAGGTAGAAATGACTCAGCCTGKAACTGAAAATATGGATGGAGGACAACAGAGCTGCTTCATGGAAGAAGAACCTCAGCTTAGCCTGTTAGCCTTCAAGCTAGCGCCGACCYTATATTGCCTTAYATGTATTAGCTCAGCGCTACATATTCTCCCCTTGTCACTGAGGTCCTCCATCCACATGACAGAGAGGGGAACACAAAAATGACTCAGTCTGCAACTGAAAATGTGGATGGAGGACCTCAGTTTAGCTTGTTTGTCTCGCTAGCRCCGAGCTAATACATATAAGGCAATATAGCGCTAAAGCTAACAGGCTAAGCTGAGGTTCTTCTTCCATGAAGCAGCTCTGTTGTCCTCCATCCATATTTTCAGTTCCAGGCTGAGTCATTTCTACCTTCTCCTCTCTGTCAACGCTCTCTGGTTTCATTTAAAAGAGTCGATCATCAGATATTGTCCAAGATTAACCTTCAGGGTGGATATAGCTCACTCACACCGAGGACCTATCCACTTCATCATTTACCCAGAATGCTTTGTGTGTAAATAAAATGGCCCCGTCTGTGTAATATATTTTAAACGTTTAGTTAAAAATGATAACAACTGAACATCCTACAGTATTTTTACAGTCTTTATTTTACAGTTAAAATATGTGTTTATTAAATAAAGTCTAATGTTACAACTAATGGGGGATCCCTTTAAGTCGTTACCTCAAGAAAACCACTGGAAAAATCATACGTGGATAATGTCCGCTCTCAGCTTCCATGCTTTTGCTCTTTTAGTTAATGTTATGTTTATTTTAGCATCTGTTCTATTTAGTTTCTATTTTGCTTGTTTAAACTTGAACAATTAACTTCAGCAACTTTCTGCATTCAGTCAGCACTCAGCATACACACAGTGCAGTTATCTTACTCTTCCTTCAGGCCGGTCTCTACTTTGTTCACTTGTTCACTGAGGGAACGGGCTTGTTGTAAAAGCAGAGTCTTGTTCTTTGGACCGAGCTGGATTTCTGTTGCCCTCTTTAGTAATGTATTCATATGTAAGGCTTCAGCTTCACACTGCTTCAACAGCACCTTCAGTGGAAATATTTGTATTAAAATCAAATATTAACTGTGAACATCTAAATATTTCCATTCTTTCTAATCATTGGTTGATGTGCTTACCCTTGCCTGATCCAGTTCAACTGCCATGCTCTCCGGGCTGCTGAAGTTCATATCTCTCTCAGTTGTAGAGTGTGCTTTGTTGACGAACTCTCGCACCGCTTCTTGCTGGCTGTCAAACTCCTGCCAGGCTGCCAGAGTGACCTGAGGGTGACCGCACAACAAAAACAAGTTTATGACATCAGTACACTAACTAATGTTGGTTTATTCAAGCTGTCAACATATTTATACTGACATGAAACCTTCCCAAAGTTACACAGAATAAAACTGCACAAATCCAGATCCAGATAAATGTCAGCACAGGCACACCTTCTCTAAAGGAAATGTTATCACCCACTACTTTTGTATCTTACGACAGAATTTTAAATTGTAATTATTTATGATGAGAAATGACAGAGTTACTGTATGACATTTTGGTTATATCTTGAAACAAGAAATTTCAGAGTCTGTTAGCACTTAGGGTATAATGTCAGAGATCAGTCTCAGCTACTACCACACAAAATTGTAGCTCAGTCTTTGTAAACTTGACTGACTTATAGCTGTTTTTTGTTTGCTGAGGCTGATTAGTTGAAGCAGATATCTTGAATTTAATTGACTCCAAAAGTTAATCATTTATAGATGTTCATTGAATCATTCATTACCGTGTGAAAGTTGCATTCTAATCCATTTGATGATTCATGGAATATTTTGCTAACAGACAGAGTTGACTACAATAGTTGATAACGAAGCTTTAAAACCAGATTTTACATGATCAGTTTGAAACCACAGTACAGGTTGTGGCTAACTCTCAGCTAGCCTACTAACACATCTCATTTAGCTCAATATCTGTAAAACATTATGACCTGGTGCCAACTCAACTCAAACAAGTCATGAGTCAGCATGTTGGCAGAGTTGGTAAATTTCTACTTAATCCAGTCATTGTGTTAGTGCTGATTCTGAGGCAGGATGAACCTTTATTGTGGCAAATAAACATGAAAAAATGTGAATACATGAATGCCGCTTTGCTCGATAAATTTGCTTAATTTTCCTTTCAGACAGGGTTGCCAGATATGGAATGGCAAACTATCATTCTGTCACATTAAAATGTTTTTTTTTACCTAAACAAGACCTCAAATTCTATTCAATTTATTTATATAGAGCTAAATCACAACAAACGTCATCTCAAACCAAATGGTAGCAGAACATCAGCTTTCTAATTAAACAGAAACAACAGAAAAGTATGGTAATGGAGGCTGAGGGACAAGCCGATCCAGTGCTTTAGGGGACCCTAGAGATGCTGCTGTAGGTTGCGAGTTAGTAGTCCTGGGCATGGGCAACTCAAAAGACAGAGATTTTGATGCGGAGACTGCAGGTGAAGATGAACCAGGAGAGGAGGATGAAGGTGGTGGACTAAAAGAATGGGATGGTGATGAAACTACCATGGAAGCTGAAGCAGATGCAGAGGCCACAGGGGGAGCTGCAAAGAAAATAGAGACCATTGGAAGAACTGCTGCCTGGGACATGGGGCTGATCAGATACTTGGTGCAGAGCAGAGGCTTGGGGCTCAACAGGCTCTTGGAGACCACCGTGGGAGCTGCAGTGGGTGTGGAGACCACATTGGTGGCTACAGCCGGCGAAGGAAGCTCTTCCCCCCCAAAGATGTAGGGAGGGCTGGAGGCATCATCAGAGAGCCCCTCAAAGAACATAGAAGACAGAGGCACTGACCCTCATGAACACAGGAGAAGGAGGCATTGACACCTACCAAAACTGAAGGGACAGGAGGCGTCAACCCTCTTGCAGGTGGTGCAGGACTGAGAGGCATGGGGGACCCTCAGGCGAGCAGAACCCTGAAGACTCAAACGAGCATTGGTCCTTATCCCTCCAGCAGTGACGTGAACCATGGGCTGAGGGCTTTGGAGGCTCGAAGCACTGGAAGACGGGTGTGGCCAACTGTTACCTCTAGATGAGTCTTCTCGAGGACCTCAGCCATACCTGGTGATTGCTCCAACCCAGCTCCAACTTCCTTCTCTCCACTGAAATTTGTGCCACCTTTTGAAACCATGTGACTGAAACCCAGCTATAAAGGCATGAAACATGGCCCACTCAGACTCGATGTCAACCACCTCAGCTGGGATGTGGTTGAAGTTCTCCCGGAGGTGTGAGTTGAAGATCTTTCTGACGGGTTCTTCTGCCAGGCCTCCCCATCAACCTTCACTACACGTTTGGGTCTACCGGGTCTGTCCGGCATCTGCCCCTGCCAACTGATCCAACTCACTACCAGGTGGACAGCTTAGCTCCTCTCTTTACACGAGTGTCCAAAACATACTGCGTCAGATCCCTTATGTTGGAAAACAGTGTTTGTAATGAACAAACTATAACTAGTATAGAAATCCAACAACAGAACACCGCTTGGGTTCAGATCAGAGAGGCTGTTCCTCCCAATCACAACCCTCCATGTCACACTGTAACCATGTGAGCAGTCTGTCTTTTCTGCCTTAGTTTTCTAGTGTTTCTGTATTCCCGCAGTCTGTCATTCCTGCAGCCCCGCCCACTCACCTGTTTCCTCTTGTGTCTCATCCAGGTGTTTCTTGTTGTCTGATTAAGTTTTGCTTTTATATTCTGTGTTCTGTCTTCAGTGTTTGTCTGATCATTGTGCTGTTACCAGCCAGTGTGATTGTCCTCTGTGTTCCTCGAGTTCATGTTTTCCCTATGAGGAGATTCTGAGTTTTGTGAGTATTTTTTAAGCTGCCTCACCAGCCTTTTTGAGTTTAATAAAACTTTTTGAGCTTTGGATTTTGCCTGTGCCCAGGGTCATTCTGCACAACCTCACAGAATGATCAGACCAGAGTACCCAGCCTGCAGGCAAACTTTTTCCAATCTGCCACTGCCAGGTGACAGTGAGCTGTTGCCCGAGTCCACCAAGGTTGGCTTTTCCTCCCCTGCCTCAGAGGAGCTGGTCCCATTTTTGCCACCGGGGGAACACCAGATGACGCACTCACTGATCAGCGGTTCGCTGATTATGCTCCAGTGGTCCCCCACCCCTGGCACAAGACTCCTGCTCTGCTGTCAGATCTTGAATGTTCAGAACTGCTGTGGCTGCCTGGCCACCAGAGGGTCTGCACATTTGTCCAGAGGGTCCTGGCTGAGAGCTCTGGTGCCCACCCTCCAACCCCTGTTTTGTTTTCCGGGATTCCTGTGCCCGAACTGGTGGTTCCTGCTTCTGGGTCATCTGACTCTTCTGAGCCTGTTCCCAAGCCTGTACCTGAGTTGGTGGTCCCGGTTCCTGAGTTGGTGGTTCCAGACCCAGTTCCAGTTCCTGAGTTGGTGGTTCCAGTCCCAGTTCTGATTCCTGAGTTGGCGGTCCCAGTGTCTCCTGAGTTGGCAGTCCTCGAAGTTCATGGGTTGGCTGCAAAACCCCTCTTTGACATCTGGGTCATTGCCCATCACCTCCTTTTCGCCTGGGTTGTCGCCCATCACCTCCTCTTCGCCTGGGTCGTTGCCCATCGCCTCCTCTTCGCCTGGGTTGTCGCCCATCACCTCCTCTTCGCCTGGGTCGTCGCCCATCACCTCCTCTTTGCCTGGGTCGTCGCCCANGCCTGGGTCGTCGCCCATCGCCTCCTCTTCGCCTGGGTTGTCGCCCATCACCTCCTCTTCGCCTGGGTCGTCGCCCATCACCTCCTCTTCGCCTGGGCCATCGCCCATTGCCTCCTTGTCCCCTCTGTCACCTGTGTTCGCCATGCTGGCTCCATCAACCTCTGCCGGCTCCTCGTCTGCTCCCGCTTCCTCCCGTGGTTCCACGTCAGTTCCCGCTGGGCCTCCTGTTCCTGCTGTGCCCCACACTGAATGGTCCCCTGGCCGTCCTCCTGAACTTTGTGTGTTGTCTTTGAGTTCCCCTCTGGTGTGTTTCAGTTCCCTGAGTCCTGTACTTCTCCTTTTTCGATATCAAGAGCCGTCGTTGAGGGGGAGGTCCTGTCACAGTCTGTCTTTTCTGCCTTAGTTTTCTAATGTTTCTGTGTTCCCCTGTATATCTCTGCCCACTGTCTGTCATTACTGCAGCCCTGCCCAAACTCACCTGTTTCTTGTTGTCTGATTAAGTTCTGCCTTTTTATTCTGTGTCCTGTCTTCAGTGTTTGTCTGATCATTGTGCTGTTACCAGCCAGTGTGGTTGTCCTCTGTGTTCCTCGAGTTCAGGTTTTCCCTGTGAGGAGATTCTGAGTTTTGTGAGTATTTTTTGAGTTTAATAATCTTTTTTGAGCTTTGGATTTTGCCTGTGCCCAGGGTCATTCTGCACAATCTCACACAGATTGAATAAACCAAACCAAAACACAGAGAGAAACTAGTTCTGATCAGACTCTCAAGTTTGTCTGATGTTTTCTCATATTTTAAAACTGAATGTGTCTCCCCTAAAGGGTGACAGTTTTGGGGTTCTGGGGTTTATATAACTAAATCACGCTTTTTTTAATCTGTGAACAGAAATTAACCTAACAAGAGGCTGATAGTCTGGCATCTTGGAGCTGATTTATCAAGATACCAGATAACCATTACTAAATAGCTGCACAAATTAAAAAATAGTATGTGCTGAAAGTGGGATGCATGCTAAGACAAATAACAGGAGCAAAGGTGGCGCAGACCATCCTATTGAAATGATTTACTATGTGTCACATGGAGGCAAACCAGATGCAAGAACAAACAGTGTTGCAAAGAGTTTTTCCATAGAACAGAGGTCTACAACCCATGCGTCATGACTCTTTGTTGTCTTGACAAAAGATAAAAAATAAAGAAGAAAACAGGACCACAGCTGAGATGGACACTTTATTTTTACTTATTTAAAGCTGTTATGCAGCAGTAATATACTTTTTATTTATTTTAAAGGGAGATATTTACTGTTACATATAATTTGTGTAACATATAGACATTAAAACTGCGGGACAACCAGTTTCAAGGTTTGACATATCGCACTGTGGTCTAAACGACTATACCTGCATATCCTCCACCAGTATTTTGCATGACCTGATAATCACCATATATTCTGCATATTCATGAAGACAAACATGCTAAATGGATTGAGTTGCTGTTTTTCTTATGTGACAGACGTAATCCTCACTGCACACTGTTAATAAATCCTCTTTGCATGCACTATCAACTTTGTTCGTCTTTTTAGAAGACGTAGTATTATTGATAAATCAGCCCCTATAGTCAGTTTTCAGGACACACATTTCAAGATGATATTTCTAAAGAAAAGGAGCGGTACACTGTAGACCAGAGGTTCTCAAACTGGGGTTTGAGAACCTCTCACGGACGTAATCTTGGGGGTCCTCAAAACAATTTCACTAAATAGTTAATTTGGTTTTTATTTTTTAATGCATGGAGAACAATAAACTAATAAAACAAACATGATAAACTTAATAAAAATATATATTCCCATGGCATTTAAGGGTTGAAATGACAATAAATTAGCTTTTGAAACAGCATGGGGTTTACAAGAGTGTCCTTGGAATTTCTTCGCACTTTTCAGGGGTCCCCAGACCCAAATGGCTTGAGAACCCCTGCTGTAGACATTTGAAAAGAGAGGATTTGTAAACTTGGCTCACCTGCAGGTTTTGCTCCTGTGAATCCATATTCTGTTCCATTTTGCTGAGTGTGTTCTCTAGACTCTGTAGATCCTGTTGAACAGTTTCTCCCACTCCTTCCTCGGCCTGCAGCTGCTGACCTCTGGTGATCAGATGCTGGACTTCCTTCCTCTTTAACTTTTGGCGCTTCAACTGTTGCTGTGAGCAACAAGAATACAGAATCTGATGTTAGTTTTATTATTTTTACAGTCAAACTACTGCCATATATGTTGTTTTATGTAAACAGTTTATTCAGTTTGAACAGGCATAGTGTGCTAGGATGCTTGGTTGTTGTAACATGTGTTTCAAATATTTGACTTTACGGTTCACAAGCGAGTGTGAAGCAGCCGGGATGAGGATCAGTGCCTCCAAATTTGAGACCATGGTATTGAGCCGGAAAAGGGTAGATTGCCTTTTCCGGGACAGGAATGGGTCCTGCCCCAAGTGGAGGAGTTTATATATCTCGGTCTTGTTCATGATTGAGGGAAGAATGAAGCGGGAGATCAATAGTAGAGTTGGTGCTGCATCTGCAGCAATGCGTGTGCTGTACTGATCTGTTGTGGTAAAGTAAGAGCTGAGCCAAAAAAGGAAGCTCTCGATTTACCGTTTGGTCTTCGTTCATACCCTCATCTATGGTCACGAGCTTTGGGTAGTGACCGAAAGAACAAGACTGCGGATACAGGCGGCCAAAATGAATTTGGTGTCTGGGCTCTCCCTTAGAGATAGTGTGAGAAGCTCGGTCATCTGGGAGGGACTCAGAGTAGAGCCGCTGCTCCTCCACATCGAGAGGAGCCAGTTGAGGTGGTTCATCTGGTTAGGATGCCTCCTGGACGTCTCCCTGGTGAGGTGTTCTGGGCACGTCCCACTGGGAGGAGGCCCAGAGGAAGGTTAGGCCAACTGACAAACATAGTCCCTCCAGTGCATCCTGGGAACATCTTGGGATTCCCACAGAGGAGCTGGACCAAGTGGCCTGCTTAGGCTGCTGCCCCCGCAACCCAACCCCGAAAAGGCAGAAGAAGATGGATGGACATTTGACTATACTTAAAACAAAATTCAACAAACTGTAAAAATAAATTAAGATCTTTTATACCAGGTCTGTTCCTCACTCGTACGTACAAACCTGATGAACAAGCAGCAGTTGCTGGGCTTCTCTGGCAGAGGAACAATCCAGTATTTTGGTCACTTCAGCCTGTGTCTCTTTCTGGCTCTGAACGAGGTCATCCAGAATAGTTTGGACTTCTTCTCTGAACTGGACACAGTCTTCCATAGCTAGCACCATCTTCTCAGCCTTACAGAGAAAACCACAGAGAGAAACACATGCTTACAGTGATTCCTAATCATTAAAACAGACCCAACGTACCTTGAAAGGTTGGATACCATGGCCAGAAATGACTAAATGTGTATAATGTCACATCATCTGTTAGAGCTTAAAGTATGTGGTGGAATGATGCTCTGTCATTAACACAAAATTTAGCTGAAACTGACTGAGTCCTAAATATTAATTTACAGATGAGTCCAAAACTTATACAGACTTACATATATTTAAATTTGTTATCTATAATGACTTTTTTTTGTTAACAGCTAGACACACTTGCAAAAAACAAAAAAACAATAATAACTAGAATAGTTGCTGGAGTAACTACGAAAGGGCTTGCCATGTGGCGTCCATTCTCAATTTATGATTCGAATTTACTATTTGTTGAAGATCACTGTCATCAACCAATTAGAGCTTCTTTTTTAAAATTAGCGTTAGTGGTTAGCTTAAACTTGAGATTAACATTCAGAATTTGAATTAGCTTTCAGCTACCGACCTACAGCTTCGTATTTCCTCAAAACTACTGAGCAAATTGGGTCCCATGTTGAATCACACAAACTTTCAACTCTTTATCGATTTTATAGAATGAAAAAAATAGATGCTTGGTCACTGTTAAAATAATGGACAGGTTTTTGACGAGGCTCTTACATAAACACAAAAAAGTGAGGATTAAAGGTGTCGTTTTTCTTTACAAAACCGTTATTTGTTATACCTCTCAGGATGTTTGTGATTTTAAACCCATTTAAAAACAAAAAAAGTATTATTTAAAAAAAGTTATTGATGGAAATGATGAATATTGTGTGTGAATATAGGTTTTGCCTAGGAAAATAAATTTGGAAACCAATGGGTTAGTAGAAGATAAATTATGTGTAAAGTATTTCTGATGAGTTTCACTTACCTCTAAGAGTGAAGTAAGAAGACCTTTAAAATCAGTAGAGAGCTTGCTCAGGGAACGTCCCTGCTTCTGGGCATCGCTGTCGGCACAGATTTCAATCAGAACAGCCATGCGGGCTTTCAGCCAGCCCAGATTCCCCTCCTGTAACTCTGCATCATTTCTCAGCTCCTGTAAACAAACGGTGATTCAATGCAAAGTGTCACCATCTTAACTTCTCAGGAATGATACTGACAAGTCCAAACTGCAACACACATGGCACATTTCAAAAGATGTAACGGGGAGAAGGTCAACTGACAAGGTACATCCCTCTGACTAACTCACCGTGATGGTAGACTTCACCTGACCATATTTTCTGGGATCACTGGCTCGATTTCTCAGCAACCTCAGCTGACTTTCTTTAGAAATCAGCCAACAGGACAGTTCAGCGTACCTGTTCCACAAAAACAGAAATGAAGACATGTTTCCTGTAGCTGCAGTCCAAAACTCCAGCATAACTTCAGAAGAACTGTGCTGTAGTACTGAGGCAGAGGAGGAAGCAGTTGGTCCACTCGTACTCTTTAGTTTTTGTTGTTGAAGAAGTTAACAAGTGTTTCTGGTCTTTGGTCCATTTATCTGTTTAGTATTGGTTGAACATTTGTATTTTGTTGGGAGAATATTAAACATGTTTAACCTCTTAAGCCCCAAGGGGTTTCCATGCTGAAATGTAATTGAGTGTACCTCAGCATTTACAAACTCTACTTAAAGAATCGTGGTATGAAAATAAAGCTAACTCTTGGAAGATTTCATCAGAAGTGTAAGTATTAAAACAGCTGTTGTGATTTTAGAAATATTGGGGATGGAACTTTTTTCGCTCTGAAATTTTTTTTTATTAGGCAGTATAAAACATATTTAAAACCATAATGAAACTCAAAATCAAGAGAAAAAAACTTTCAACACACTTTACAACATATTTAGGTGTCTGTTTTGAATTGCTTTAAAAAATGTCAAAATCTTTCCTTTACAGATTTGCAATGACACCATTTTGTACTGTTTGTTTACTTTCTGATTCAACTGCTTGACATTTGAACTGTTTGGTGAATGTACAAATAGTTTCCATGAGCTCTTAGGTTTCTTTTGATACCAAACACGTCCAGGTTCAGCTGACAGACCTTAAGTTAAAAGAAAGAGAAAACGAAAAAAATATATATATATATAAGACTTGCTGCCGGTACCGGGGTCATTCTTTATTTTGATACCAAGATTATTTAAGTAGAGTTTGTAAATGCTGAGGTACACTCAACTAAGAGTAACTGTGAGTCTTACAGATGAATAATTGTGCATTTTTTAAATTAGTGTCTTTCACTGTAAACTCAGAAGTTCACCCTAGCTGTCAGATTGTTGAAAACATTTGTACGTTACAATAATGTTAGACATGATTCAAACAGAACTTCTCTCTGTCTAAAACAAAGAAAAGCATTTTATTGTAACGGCATTGGGTATGAGAGGAGGGAATCACAATAGCTGTAGTTTACAGCCTCAGGTTAAGATATACACACAGACTAAACACTCTCTCTTTTTGAAGCATTTAAGCAAGACAGTCTCACAGAAAGTCATGCATTTAAAAAGTTGTACCTTGTGTTGTACTCCTTCCATTTATCTGGGTACTGAACAAGCTTCTGATGAGTCTCCTTAATTTCCTCTCTGACCTGATCCAGGTCCTTTCTCGCTGTTTCCATGATCTGGTGAGTGGGGTCACCGTCGGGAAGTTTTTGACAAAGTTCTTCTATAACCTGCAGCCTTTTCTCACAGATGGACTGGGGTCCTTTATCCCTAAAAAAGGCCTTGATGACATTTGAATACAAAAGAAGATTGATGAAAATCAACACAGTCGCACAGAAAACATTTTTTCCATCAATAAAAACCAAACAAATATTTAAACACAGTTCCACTAAACTTCTATTTCCTTGAACGAATGCACTTTTCAAGCAGAACTTTAGATGAGATCATTTAATGATGTAGCAAAGGTAATTCCTCTTTTTAAAAATGGTGAAAAACGTGTGTTTAACAATTACCGACCAATATCCCTGTTACCACAATTTTCAAAGATTTTGGAGAAATTATTTGTGATAAGATTGGACAAATTCATTGATAAACAGAATATATTAAGTATAACAGGCAGTATGGGTTTAGAACAAAAAATTCTACGTCGATGGCTCTCATTGAATTAATAGAACATATAACAACTGCTGTTGATCAAAAACAGTACTGTCTCAGTATTTTTGTTGATTTAAAAAAAGCGTTTGATACTATTAATCACAGTATTCTTTTTGAAAAGTTAAATAAACATGGTATTAGAGGACCTGCATTACAGTGGGTATCTAGTTATTTGGAAGACAGAAAACCATTTGTACAAATAAATAATGTAAGATCTGAGTTTTGTAACATCTCATGTGGAGTGCCGCAGGGTTCCATTCTCGGACGTAAGTTTTTTATTTTGTTTGTGAACGATTTGGTCAATGTGTCGGGTCTTTTTGAGTGTGTCCTATTTGCAGATGATACAACATTCTTCTGTTCCGGTAAATCCCTGACTGTAAAAATACTGTAGGCTGTTTAGTTTTGTAAATTTTTTAAAATATATTTTAACATGGATGGAGCCAATTTATTTACACACAAAGCATTCTGGGTAAATGATGACGTGGATAGGTCCTCGGTGCGAGGCTGCTAGCGAGCTATATCCACCCTAAAGGTTAATCTTGGACAATATCTGATGATCGACTCTTTTAAATGAAACCAGAGAGCGTTGACAGAGAGGAGAAGGTAGAAATGACTCAGCCTGGAACTGAAAATATGGATGGAGGACAACAGAGCTGCTTCATGGAAGAAGAACCTCAGCTTAGCCTGTTAGCTTTTGTGCTAGTGCCGACGCTATACTGCCTTATATGTATTAGCTCGGCACTAGCGCATCAAACAAGCTAAACTGAGGTCCTCCATCCATATTTTCAGTTACAAGCTGAGTCATTTTTGCGTTCCCCTCTCTGTCATGTGGATGGAGGACCTCAGTGACGAGAGGAGAATGTGTAGCGCTGAGCTAATACATATATATGGTTATAGCATCGGGGCTAATGCTAAAGCTAACAGGCTAAGCTGAGGTTCTTCTTCCATGAAGCAGCTCTGTTGTCCTCCATCCATATTTTCAGTTCCAGGCTGAGTCATTTCTACCTTCTCCTCTCTGTCAACGCTCTCTGGTTTCATTTAAAAGAGTCGATCATCAGATATTGTCCAAGATTAACCTTCAGGATGGATATAGCTCGCTAGCAGCCTCGCACCGAAGACCTATCCACGTCATCATTTACCCAGAATGCTTTGCGTGTAAATAAAATGGCTCTGTCTGTGTTAAAATATATATTTTTAATTTTTAGTTTAAAAATGATAAAAAGTGAACATCCTACAGTATTTTACAGTCTTTATTTTACAGTTAAAATATATGTTTATCAAATAAAGTCTAATGTTACAACTAATCAGGGATCTCTTTAAAACCTAAGGGTAACGTCTCCTGAAGGTCTTTTCCCATCAACCAACTCAGGGTGGTAACAGAGACTAACTCAACACAGTGCAGGAGTTCATGAAACATTTTGCTAACCCTGCAACTTGTTTACCCTGTGCTCTTTGATGAGCCTCTCACTCCCCATGCTTGTCAGGTGGCGGTTTTCCCTGGTCAGCTCTGCCTGGCACTCCTGCAGCGAGGCCATCAGCTTGTTCCTCTCCACCTCCACCTTCAGGCGCAGGAGGTGGAAGGGGAAATCTGTCTGAATATCCTGAGAAAAGGAGAATAAATGCAATTAAACTCTCATGTATATACTTCACGAAACACTGAAGACAAACAAAAACAGTTCCTTTGGTATAAAATGATGTTTGCTTTGTATTTTGGGGCTGTTAGATGTATATTAGATCATCCAGTGAGTTTAAGGATTTTTTTAATCCTAAAATAATATACCAACATTGGTTATAAACATACAAATGTGTCCATTTTATTTCTTATTTTCCCAACCTTCCAGTGTTTATGCAGCTTCCTGACAGTTTCCTGCAGGGACTGCTGTTCCTGTTCAGGCAAAATGTCCGTCATCTCATCACAAGCCTTCAGGAATGTGTTTAGGACACACTGGTCCAGTTGGCCAAAGAATTCCTGTGAAAAAGTATATTTATACAGTCTAAGAACAGGAGATGATAATATAATAATACTATGATCTTATAAAGTGTCAAGAATGATTAACTGTGGTGGCCATCTTGAAATCACCTGACTCCAAAGTGAATAATTTATAAATATCTGTATCCACTTTTACTTTAGAGTTTAATTTCAATACACGGATGGTTTATAAGATATTTTACTAACACAACAAACAATCAAAGACCCAAACACAGACACAAGCAAAAACATTGACCCTCTATTCCACTGCCTTTGGCAGCATGTGATGAACAGATCCTTACTGTGTTCTTCTTGAGCAGCTCCTCTGGGTTTCCCCGCTCAGTCAGACAGTTCTGAGCCATTTTAAGAATTTTCTCCAGCTCTATCTGAGACTCGTCAAATCTCTTCATCAGGCTGCTGCTTGTTTCCATGTGCTTTCGCCACTCAGTTGATTCTTTAATCAGGTTCTAAACATACAAAGCATTATTTCAGTTTCCTAAAGCTTGGCTGGTTTAAATGGAGAAAATCTTTTGCTGTGAAAAAGCAGAGTGAATGCTGTGCTGAACAACTGGGCTGAAGAAGATAAACTGAGTTAAATGGACTAGAACACTGCCAAAGAGCTAAAAGGTTCAACACACTAGTTTACATATATATATAT